TGAAGGAACGAGCGCTAAACGTAAACAACACAACGCACACCCCGCAGAGCCAACAACAGAGCCAGCAACAAATCTCAATCCGAAGCTAAAGATAAAGCTGTTGCTGTTGCTGTGGCTGTGGCTGAATCTGAAAGCTGAATCCAAGTCCACAACTCGCCAGCGGGAGTAGGTGTAACTCCGGTAGTGGCCGGCTCTCAAGCAACGAGGAGAACCAGTTCGGCCAGTTGCAAGTTGTTGTTGCTGCCGGCTGCCCGGTTGGCGGTTGTCTTTTTTTGTATTTATTTCTTCTTTTTTTTTGCATTTTCATAATAATAATATTAATAACAACAATAGCAAAAGAGCTCAACATATGGCGATATCATCGTCGTATGTTGATACATGTATACCCTTATGCCAAAGAGTCATCAGCACCAAAGTTGCAACAAACAAGCCGTTTCCACCTGGCTGCCAAGAACGTGCTACAAACAACAGCCTATAAAAAACGAATAAATTTTAGTTGTTGTACAGGATGAGGTCAGTTAAATGTATCTTAACAACATTTAGCAAATAGATTATTTTGTTAAAAGAGTCGACAAACAAATGAAGATGAAATAGTGCAAATCGGGCAAGTTAAGAATGCTTAAGTCGAGAGAGCTCGTCTAGCAGATATCCGTAACGCAGCTTTTATTTTAGTTAAATCGATTTAAACACAAGTTATAGTTTTATTGTCGAATTGCCTCTTCAGTCAGTCAGTCAGCAAATCGTAAAATATTCTCTGAACTGTTCTCATTAAGATTGTTATTATATAATGTATTTGCAAACTGTTGAATGAAATAAGCTAAATATATCGCAGTTTTGTTAAGTTATTAAGTTCAAGGATTAGCTTGGATAAAAGATGTAAGTTGAACACAAATATCAACAGCCTCTCTCCCTCCCCCTACCGATGCGATATATTTATCATCTAACAAAGCGCTCGCCAAACCGAATGACCAACGGAAAATAAAAAAATATATATATATATATATATGTATATAAAAAAAAAAACTCAAGACCCAACATGACCTCAGCTGACAACAAGCGAGAAGGCGATGGGTAACTGTGAAGCCCTATGATGGTAGAATTGGGGTCTGACTCAGTGGTAGGGAGGGATAACGAATAACGAATAACGAATAACGAAAGCCGAAATGAAAATATTTCATCAAATGAAAGTTAATCATAGAAACGCATTCAGTAGATTTTACTTGGAAGCCTCACAATGCCATCAAAATAACTAAAGCAAAAGACATGACGCCCACATCTCTCTCTCTCTCTATCCCTCCCTCTCCCTGTCTCTCTCTCTCTCTCTCCCGCTGCCCCTTTTTCCCGTTCTCCATCTGTATATGACGCTTTGTGTTTGCCATTAGGCTCTTTAAACAATTTAACAAATGCCACAACGTCAATTGGAAGGCGTTCGAAGCACGTTCGTTAATTAAATTAATTGAGCCGTCTTTGGCCAGGGGCGCTACTCATGATGGCCCACACAATGCTTAACATACAGCACATACCATATACCCTATACCATTTCCAATACCATGCCATATACCAGGCCAGAAGGCAAATGCCAGCTCGGAGAACTGACCTACAAGCCAGGTCTCTTAGTGCATTCGTCTTTAAATATTTTGTACCCCAACCAATCAACAGGCCCGTAACTGTCATCGTCGTCGTCGTCATTCGTTGATTTGCTCTAATGTCTGCCATAAAATAGATAACAGGCAAGAATACGCGGTCTTCGCACAGTCGAAGATTAAATGCACTTACCTATCACTTAAGAGCTAGGCATATGGAATAGATTCGAGTTGTAACCATAAACTTTACAAAGTAATCCGATTCTGATCATATATGGTAATATTAAAATTATATCGAATTTTATAATTTATAAATCATATTCAGAATCTAATGAATTGTGTAAATCAGCATAAAATTTACATGACTTTCAAAAACTGATTTTTATAAATATAAAAAATAATTAAATAATTTTTATAAATAAAATCAAAATACCCTCAGGAAAAGGGTATGAGAAGTAGCGCAATGTACGCCTCATGACAGCTTCGATGTTTGTTCGCTGATGTTGATGTTGATATCGATGTCGATGGCAGCATAAATTAGGCACAAACTAATTAAATGCGTTTCAATTGAAGTTGCAACTGACAGCAGCAGCAACACAAGCAACAACAGTCGAAGCCGTTGCAGACTGAAATAATGAGCAGTGCACTCGTATTTATCACATGTATCTGTATCTGAATCTGTATCTGTATCTGCGTCTGTATCTGTATCTTGCAGATACACGTACTCATTCAGACACCATGCAACTCGGTCATTTGTGGCCGTTCTCGACTCTGCGGCATAGACTGTAAATTTTAATTTGCAACACACTTAAGCTCTCTTTTTTCTCTTAAGCGACAATTACTGTCCAAGAGCTCGGTGGCATGCATGTTGGACAATCTTTAAGCTATTTTCCAAGACAACAGTTGCAGAAGGTTTTGTGAGTTAAATGTATACATTAAATTGTGTGTTGTAAATTTAAAAGCCATGAACAAAATGCAATTTGAACTTAAGAAATCCGTTCAGTTTAAGGCTACATAAATGATGTTAACTCAATGAGCAAAATTGATCACAATTTCGTGTGAGTTTCGTTGGCGTCGGTTTACGGAAATTTCATTCGCTGATTGTCAATTTTCCAAATGACTTTTTCATTGCCTGCTTTTCTCTTGCAAAACTTTTCCGCTTTTGGCAACAATTAAAAGCGCTGACTCAGCAGACTGAGCGCACCCTGAGCTACAGCCAGGGGCAGAGGCAGAAGCGCAGCCGTCGCAGTTGGCCCGCTCCAAAACGGTTGGCAACAGCAGCGCCATCGTATCAAAATATGGCTAAAACGGAAAGTCAGCCAAATGTCTTAGCCAGACCAGGCCGCACTCGAGGGCCAACAAACTTTTACCCCAGAGCCGGCAAGTCTGCTAAGTCCGTTGTCTGCTGTCTACTGTCTGTTGTCTGCTGTCTGTTGTCTGCTCTTGGATCATATAATGACACACATATGAGTACTCCACCGTAGAGCAGAGACATAATTACCGCTGTGCCCAAGCCAAGACCAAAATGATCTCCGGCTGACAGCTGACGCTGGTAGCCAGAGCGTTGACTGATTTATGAAAGACACTTTTGCAAGTCGCCCAACTTGATTTTCAAGAAACCGTTACGGCTCTGAGCTCAAACCACTGTCTGTCCATCTGTCCATCAGTCTGCCTGTCTCTCTGTCTGTCTGTCTGTCAGTCTGTCAGTCTGTCTCACTCTTTCTTTGTATATACAATACATCCAACTATCCATCCATCTATCTGTCTGTCAGCACATTCAACAAATCTTTTGTCTGAATGCTCTTTCTCCACGCAATTGCTTTAGCCAGTATTCATTTCAAATCCATACAAATGGAGAATTCTGAATAACATTTATTGATTAAGATAAATCATGCAACGTATCTTGAAGATACTATTAATTTATTTTGCAAACACATCATAATTTATGCATTCAAATTTATTCTTAAACTGATTATAAGCAGATCTCGATCCACTACAAGTTCATAAATATTAAAGCAAGTGATTTAATACATAAAAATGTTTTCATTTTTGGAATTTAGTTTGGTCTTGTCTTCGTTTATTAATGGGTCTTTGGCAACCCTACTTATGACGATAGTTTGATTGATTGTAGTAATGCATGCAGTACTTAAATAAATAATTATTAAATTATATAATTGTTTGGCCTTAGTTATTATTGAGTAGAGCAACTGGAGTGCGGCTTAAGTTGTTTCTAGTTGAAGGTTTTCTCAATTTTGTCTATTACACGACTACAAATTGAAGTGTTTTGTTGTCTTTGAGCCATGTTTGTTGCCAAGCACCCAAATGGCTCATTTTTCTGTCTTTGTCTTTGTCTTCGTCTCGCCTCGTTTCGTCTCCACTCTGCTCTCCTCTCCTCTACGGTGCCAACCTGGCTTGGCCCGGTCTCAACTGGTCTCTAGCTTCTGGCCAGACCAGTCGTCTCTTTGGCTGGCTGGTTGTTTGCCTGTTTGGTTGTTTGGTAATCACGATCGCCAGATCTTTTCAGCTGCTTTCAAAGAGTTGGCCCAGTTGCTGGCTGCCGGCTTTCCGCGCGAGTCAAAACTTAATTGTCGGCCTAATGGCAATGTCTGTCTTTCTGCTTTTTATGTCTGTATCTGCCACTATCTCTGTCTCTCTGCATGTTGCCTCAAATCAGCTGATTGCTGATGACTGCCGCTTGATAATGATGAGTAAGCGCTTTTAATGCCAACAAAAGAAACGCTTAGAACACTGCATCCGCACTCTATTTGGATTCATGTGGCGTTTCTTTAACAAAGCATTTTATTTGCAAATACAACGGCCAACCAACCTCAAACAGACCTTCTCCACATGGACACCATGAATGGTTGAGGCTGTGCACAAAACGTATAAAAATAAACAGGAAAACTTTGATTAAACTTAACTACATAATACGTGAATAATGCATTTGTATTCACAGCTTTTCCCAGTTTCCATTCAACTTTGTCAGACCTGAGACAGTTTTCCCTAGAATCATAAGAGTTAGAGGCAGCTAATTTGGCAACAGATTTGCCATTAAAATATCGACATTTTTGGCAAATATTATTCGTTAATAAAAACACAGATATTGATAATTTAACATATAAATCCATAAAAGGAAAAAGGAATTAAAAAGTTAGCTATATATAAGAAAATTAATTTATTTTCTCTGCTCTGGGTCTATGCATGTATATTTATATATTAAATTATATTTTATTATACTAATTCATATCATATTCTAATATATAAAAGTCACAACTTGTTTGAATCGATGCTTTGCCTCATTGAAACTATTGTCAGAATGGGGAATTTCAAATGTTACAAACCTTTAATAAGTCTTACACTACAATTTTATACCAGCCTTTTGGCACTCTATTAACAAATAAAAATTGTGTTTTTCAGTTAACAATTAGGAGATTTACCATGCCAAGGACCCCAGAGTGGAAACAAAGGAGAATTGCCAACACACGATCTCTGGACTCCGGACTCTCTGGCGATTTTGAGGATCCTCGGAGGCGGGGCATCTTGCAGAACACGGGCTGCCGCCTATACCGGGAGCAGCTCCAGAGCACGTATAAGTGCAATATATTGCAAGGATTTATTCTGTTCATTGGATTGGTCACAGTGCTGCTCATGCTGTCTTTCCACGGCAATGAGTCGACTGCGATCAATCTAGAAGATCAGTTGTCTTTGGAAGCGCTCTGGCTGGGCGTGTCAGAAGTGCTGGGCCTGGGGGATCGTCTGGAAGCGAAGAGGTCTCTTCAACCCTTCAACTGCGACCAGCAGCTGGACACAAGGCGCCTTTTTCGACAGATTGGCAAGCAGGTGCTCAATCAGGAGAATGCTCTAGCGCGTCTGGAACGAGCCGTCAGAAGTAAGAGATCATTCAAATCTGTGGCGTTGCTGGGACCACCCGGAGTGGGCAAAACGCTGACAGCAACGGAACTGAAACAACAGTTTCCCTGGCCGGAGAACGTGCACAGTTACTCGTGGAGCACCCAAGTGCCGGACGATGCCCACAAATTTCACCTGATGCGTCAATTTGTGAAGCAGCTGTCCGACTGTGGCCAGAATCTGCTAATCATTGACAATCTGTCCACTTGCGACTACAGCATCGTGCCCATCTACAACCGGCTGTTGCAGCAGCGCGAGGGCGATCCGAGGTCAGCAGTTAATCAAACTGTACTCGTGGTGTACATCTTCAGTCTGCAGTTGGAATACTACTGCGAACAGTTTGAGTGGCTGCAGCAATTGCCCACGGATACCACAATCATCAACTATCGCCACTTTTCACGTGACGAGCTGCGCGACTGCCTGCGGAACGAGCTACGCTTGGAGCAACGTATCCTGGATGAGCTCACACTCTCCCTCGTACTGGAGGAGGCACTGCTCCAAGTCGACGACTCAGGCTGCAAGCACATCCGTCAGCTTCTCCTGCAACACGGTCTTTTCGGCCAATAAATTGTTTTTAGTCTCTGTCTATGCTACCTGTAAAAATTAGATAGAGTGAATGTCTGAATTGAATGCATGATTGTATGAAATAAAAATGGAACTATTCATAGTTATTACAATGAGATCAACTGTTTATCCAGATGGATTAGTATGTAAGGTAATCTTAATAAGAAGTTGTAAATCTTTTACCAAAATATGTCACCCTTAATAGGATCAGGGTTCAATTGCTAGTGGAGCTCCCTCTCTCTCTCTCTCTCAGTTGTTTTACTTTGGACTCGGTTAAATTGAAATATATATGCAGTATGAGCTGGGCTTTCAAAACAGTTTATATCTTGAGTCAAAATTAAACGATGCATGAGTTACCTTAATGAAGTTTGTACTTGTTTCATATTATTCATTTTGGTCTGGTGTATGTAAGTATCTTGACTGAAGAGCGACGAAGAGTTCACTCAAGTGGCGAACTGAAGTGTGCCCCATGCAAACGACATGAGACAAGAGACAAGAGACGCATAGAAGAGCAGAGAGCTCTGTGTGGATTCTGAAAGGGTGTTTTACACCGTACACCGTGCACCGTACAGTACAGCTTACATTACGCACAGCTTAAGTACTGAATGCTTAGAAATATTTGTCTATCACTCGAAATTCGGAGGTTGCCACATCATCATCATCGTCAGCACATTATAACTTCAAGTATAGGAAAAGTGCCTTGGTTTTGTTTTGGCTTTGCCAACGTTGGCCACAATGGAAATTTTCTGAAGAGGCATCCAAAAGTGAAACATCGTTAAAGATAATGCTGAATATGTTGAGATGTGTTCAGCCAGCTGCTACTGCTGCTGCTGTTGCTGACAGTATATGGAGTGCAAGGTCGTTTGTTTATCGACAGAGATTGCTTTAAGTAGAAGAGATACTTTTAATACAAATGTAACTTTTGAAAGCAGTAAATTATCCCAACTAGATGTCAATAACAAATATGCAGTCAATTGCAGTATGAAATTCTATAGTTGCATTAAATCAAATTCAAAATAAATTGAATTAATGCTAAAGCTTAATTAAATGAATTCACCGTAAAATCAAATTGAATGTGTGTTTAATTATAATTGAATACAAGTCTGAAATAGAATGCAAACAATACATTTAGAAGCGAAAAGCTTAGGTCATTAGTATACATATATATATAATAAATAATAATATTGTTAAGCTGCTCAATTGAATTCACTGCATATATTAAGATATTTTTTGTGGCAAAATAATAAAATACGAAATTGAAAATGGAATGGTTTTTAACTATCACAAAATTCAATTTGCATGGTAATTGAGTACAATTTAAATTGAATTGAAAACTCATTTAAATAAATTCAACGAAAGAGCGCATATACAATTTAAATTGAATGCAAAATGTCTAAAAGTATAATAATTTCATGGCAAGCTGCACCCCCAAGAGAAGTGAAGCAACAACTGACAGCAACCTGTTAGTTGTATCTATATAATTCAGAGTATCGTAAAGTCGAGTATCTCTTAGCTACGACAGACACACAGGTTGGTTTTTCGGCACAGTGCGTTCGCCCATGCATCCGTCAGATACGGCAAAGCCCAAGAGCCAACAACCGCATCGAGGACAGGCCGCGACTGCCAATTGCAGTGCAATGCAAAGCGCAAAACTTAGCCAGCGGCGTTTGTAGTTCATGAACGGCCAGCGAACTCAACGCTGCGCCGCCAGTTGATAATATGAACAAAACGAATAAACGAATACACGAATACGAATACACGAATACGAATACACGAATACGAATACGAATAACACAACGAATATCTGTGGGCGAGTGACAAGGGGGCGCAGACACTGGGCCCGGCGACAGCTTGCACCATGCACCGGTAATTTTTGTGTTTTTTTTTATGCTTTTTTTGGCTCTGCTGTTTTCTGTAGGGTATAATGAAGTTGTGCAGAAGTATGAAACATGCAGCAGATAGGACCTATATATATATATATACTCGTGATCAGCATCAATAACCGAATCCATTTAGCTGATTTGAAATAACTAACTTGGCAAGCAGTTTCAACATTCTGCTTACATTGGAGTAAGTAAATAATTTAAATAAAATGCGTGCGTGGGTTTTAAGTCGATTTAATAATATTAACCAGCTGGATATCTCAGCAGGGTATCTTATAGTCGAGCTCTCTCGTTTAGAGCATTGTGACTTGTTTTGTTTTTGTTTCTGTTTACTGGTTGAGATTGAGTCGTTCGGCTGGTCACGTAAGCACCGATTCAGACTGCGATTTGGACGGCGTTGTTTTTGGTTGCTGTCGCCGTTGCTGGGCCGGTTGCATAAGCCCCTCAATTTGATTTTGGCAACGCGGAAGATACGAGCTGTGGATATGTGCAGTGTACACATAGCCATTGCCATAGCCATAGCCATAGCCATAGCCATAGCCATCGACAAAGAGTTAGCATCTAAACGATTTCGAAACCACTTTTCAGTTTGCTTTGCCATTCAGATTAACAATGCAATTGCAATTGCAATTGCAAGTTGCTTTTACTGCTTCTAAACAAAACGAAAATGGCAAATGTCTACAAAAAGGCCTACAGGGATCTCTACGCGGAATTGGCCATTGGCATATTGGCCATAACTGTCAGTTTGCCAATCGTATTGGTCAAGCAACTAAATGCGATTGAATATTCGCTTTTTCATATCAACTCATCTATCCCACACTGCGTGTCCAACACTAATAAACAGATCATGAAATGCGAGTTCGAATAACTTTGAAAATATTTTGAAGTCACTCGTTATCAATTCACAATCGATATATGTATGTATAGCTGCCGTTGCTGACAGAACTGTATACATTAATAGAATTAACAAATGGAACTCAAATGGAAGTTTAAGCATATGAATGAGAAATACAACAATTGCTGCCTTTAGCCATTGGTTTGTCTTTGGAGACCGTTCAATAACTTCTAAGCTGTCGCCGTCCCATTGTGGCGATGTCTTAACTTATTTTCAGTGCAGCGAGTGGAAAGTGGAGCAAACGGTTTCCTTTATAGACGAGCGTATAAAATTTTATGAACCATTTATGGCCAGCATAAAAAGAAAACTAAAAAAAAAAAAGCAGAAAAAAATGAAATCAAAGAAACACATAATAGTAAAGTAGCAAAAAGGAAAAGAGCTGAAAACGTCGAAGCGGAATAATAATTCGATAACAACAGAGGCACACAGAGTCATATCCAGTCATCCAGTCTCCAGTCTCCAGTCTCTGGTTTCTGCTCTCGAGTTTCTACCCGGCAAATGGACCAACGAGGCAAAAGCAGCGCGCACTTTGCAAAAATATTATTATGATTGCAGCAACTGCACCAACTGCTTTCCTACTTACTGGACTGGCAAAGAAAGGTGCTGGCTAACACAGAGAGAGGGAGAGAGAGACAGAAAGATAGAGAAAGAGTGAGGGGATGGGGCATATGGAGTCTTGGTCAGCATAAACAATCACACGCTGAGTGCGTCGACGGTGCCGCTCCACAAAATCCCATAGATAATGAAAGGAAACCGCCGCAGCAACTGCAGTCGAGGGACGGCATTCAATATAGTTTTCGAATCATTTGAAATGAATGAAATAAATTGGTTGCTACATTGCGACCCAGCGTCAGTAAATGTCACATTTGCTTAGTATTAAGGCCACTCATATGGAAGCTTGCCACAAGCCAATGGCTGCAAGTACCAATTGTCAATCTGGTCGCTAACAAAATTCACATAGAAACTAACTAACATGTTGGTCACTTGATAGACATTCTATATTCAGGCTGATTTTATGAATATATTTATAAAAAATGTTTCCCAACAGTAGATACAGCTGCAGGTTTTCATTATCATCAATCCATAATATATAGAGTATTATAAATTGTTTTATACACTTTTTATTAATCAAACTTTTGGACATGCCGCGATTGTTTGAAAATCAAAGACAATTCATGGATTTTCTTCTAATGTTGAAATAGTCTTTTGAACAGTTCAGTCGGACTATTTATATTCAGTCTATTTGTGCTTCTGTTCCGATGTTAAATTGTGTTGTGATTATTTTATATATAAGTCTAATTCTAATCATCATCGTATATGATGGCTGCAGCTAATGAAAATGAAGTCAGCCAAGATGATTTATTGCTAGACTACTTAAAACAGCTGAAGGCAGAAATGAAAATCAATACCAATAAGATAGGGCATAAGGAAAGGGAAATCAAGGAACTACAGGAGAAGTTAAGGAATTACGAGCTCAAATATATTTCCATAAGAAGAGCATTGAATCAATGGGACAGCTGAAATAGAACTCAACAATTGGTTAATTGCACCTCCTTTGGAAAAGCTCCGGGTTCATAAAATTAGTTTCACAAAATTGTGCTAAATTGTGATACGCCCAACAAAAATATGAAAATATCATTAGATGATTTAAAAAAATAACTTTGTGCTCAATTTATGAAAAATGATAAAAGTTTGTATCTATTTCTGATATAACTAAAATTGAAGAGTACTGTGCAGTCGTAAAACATTGGAGAATATGTGCCATTGGCAATTGTGCAACTGATCCAACTGTTGTGGCATTAATGAGGAGCCAAGCAAGTCAACAGCAACAACACCAAATGCAACAAAGATACAATTGTATCTGGGAAGTCAGAAGTCGCATATGGTCGGTCGGGTGAGAAGCGTTCACGGCGCACAGCGAATCAATTGCAACTGCAAAAAAATAAATGAAAAGAAATGCAAGCAACCCACATTGTAGCAAACTGTGTTATATGCTGGCTTTTTTTTTTTTTGTTTTTGGGTTAAGAGTTGGCTCTGACGCACTGCAATGAGGAGACTGACTTGCACTCGCATGAGGAGACAAAATAAATTAAAGCGACATCGACGACAAAGCACAAAACACAAGTCAGAAGACAGAAGGCAGCAGTCAGCAGTCAGCTGGCAGCAGGCAGCAGGCAGCAGGCAGTAAACGTAGAAAGCAAAGGCAAAAGACACTTTGAGAAATGAATGGCATGACCAGGCAATTGATTTAAAGCAGCGACAACAGAATTGACCGTCCCAGCGAGCAAGTAAACGGCCAACAGTCCAACTAAACCGAACGGCCAACTCA